GAAGGATCATGTGACACTGAAGACTGGAGCAATGACTGTTGAAAATTCAGCTTTGCATCACAGGAATAAATTAGATTTTAAAATATATTAAAATAGAAAACAGTTTTTAATTAAATAGATGCAGTCTTGGTGACCATAAGAGACTTCTTTAAAAAATATTACTGACCTCAAACTTTTAAAAGGTAGTGTATGTACACTCTCTTCATCTCTGTCTTTGTAAAATCATCAAATACCATTCAGGCTGTAAATACTTTATAAGTTTTAGTTGAAGTACATCAGTTCATACTGCAGTCATTGCTTTAACTCTCATGTCAACTACCACCTGCTGTGATGTAACTCCTGTATAACCTGGTGCATTCGCATTCAAGAGCCCTTTTTTCTTTCCTTTTATGAATGTTTAGAAATATTAACTCCTGAAATAGATGCTTTAGGCTAGGAGAAACAGAGCGGAGGAAATATGACCACCACTGGTGTAGGAGGATGATAAACAGAGTGATACAAACAGCAGACAGTGTGGGGGGTTCAATATCAAAGAAATGTGGCAAAATGATGCTCGCTGCATGACAGGGAGGAAGATAGATTGAGTGAAGATCTGAACAGTGTTTTAATGCAAGTTCACACAGAAAAACAAAACAAAACACCTTAACACTTTTACTTTAAACATGCAGTAAGTCATTTCTTTCTACTTTACAAATTCACATCTAAAGAAATTAATAGCACTTTTGATAAAACAAGAGCCATATCAAAGGCCACAATAAGGTAAGATACATAAGAGTGGTTTCCAATAATGTTGAGTTCAATACGTGAAGTCTTACCTTGGCGATCTGAACACACCAGTTGAGCAGTAATTGGGAGCCGATGTTGTCTTTATGCTCGTGCACGTAGTCCAGCAGACAGCCATGGGGCATGAGCTGTGTGACCAGCTGAATGGTGGGGCTCAGACACACACCCAGTAACCGCACCAGGTGAGGATGCTCCATGCTGGCCATGATCAGAGCCTCCTGGAAGGAACGAAAGCAGGAACTCAGAGCACAGGAAACTATAACCAACCAATCACTCTCAATAAATGATTTTACAGCATGTAAATAAAATGTGTATATGAAGAGTTCATTTGCACTCACCGATAAAGAAATCATGTTTTTTCATTGTGCATTCCAATTAATCTCAATCAAACTGCAGTTGGGTTATTTTGACTAGGTTAAACAGTAAAAAAAAACAGCTAACTAACACAATAAAACACAATAAAAACATGATAACATAAAAACATGATTTTTGAAAAAGAAAAAAAAAAAGCAAATAAACTCTTTATATATATATATATATACACATATATACACACACACACACACACACACACACATATATATACAGTATATGTGTGTGTGTGTGTATGTGTGTAGTGTATGTATATGTATATGTATAAATATATGGTGTATCTCAAAAAACTGCTCACCAACTAATGGCACAAGGGACAGTTTCTAACATCTAACATCTATATATATATATTATATGTGTGTGTGTGTGTGTGTGCTTTAAAGTCTTTTATACTCACCAAGCTTCAATTATTTAATCAGTAATATTGTGAAATATTATTACAATTTAAATGAACTGTTCTCTGTTTTAATATATTTAAAAAAATAATGTTTTCCTGTGATGGAACAGCTGGATTTTTTGTCATTATTCCAGTCTTCAGTGTTACATGATCATTCTCAATCATTCTAATATGCTGATGTGGTGTTCAAAAAACATTTCTTATTATTATCAATGTTGAAAACAGCTGCTTAATATTTTTGTTAAAACCATGAGGCACTTTTTCAGGATTCTTTGATAAACAGAAAGCTCAAAATAACAGGATTTATTTTAAACAGTAATCTTTTGTCTTTGCTATCACTTTTGGTCAATTTAATGCATCCTTGCTGAATAAAAGTATTAATTTTATGTCTTATACTTACCAAATGACAGGATGCTTCAATTTAAATTTTCAAAAAGTGCATACATCTTACATTTACAGACAATTTATCACAGATGGTTCTGAAACACACATTGTCATACATGTAGAAACACACACACACACACACACACACAATGTCCCACTGAGATTCATCTGTGAAACAGCCTCATAGTTATAGTCTGCAAAATGAGTGTAGAATTTTTTTCACTTTGTTTCACGACACTTGCAAAAGCTGGGGGATTTACAAGGCAGTCTTACTACCCATAAATGACTAACATTGCGCTCTTACATGCTGAAAATGACCATCTATGATATTCTGAAAGAGTCATAGGTCTATTTCACTTACTTTCAGTACGGTACAATCAAGCAATTTAGTCAAAATTTAGAAATGTATGTGAAGCATCTCACTTAACAAGATCACAATTACGATCCTAATTCCAGTTTATATCCAACATATTTAACCTGTGGTCCAAACAAAAGATGGCACACGGTATAAAAGTATCAGGGGCTAAGAAAATACAGAACATAAAAAATACATATAATTTCCACAAACAGCTAAGGGGATAATTCAGAAATAATATCCAAACCTCTGGCCATAAGGTTATATTATGGCAATAAAAGATGCCTCTGCCATTAATATGATTTCAGGCCTTGGAGGGATCTTATTACGTTTGCTTGAGCATTTTAAAAACTAAAACAGTGTGTAACACACATCCTACATCCGCAAACACACACACAAAGCCATTATCTGAACACTACATAAAATTACACACTTGACAGTTATATAATGAGCATTCACGCTCCTGCTATTCTCCAGCTGCTGAGATGATTGCGTACGCACATGCTGCTCGCCCAATCAACAGCGGGGGCCAGCGTCTACATGTCTGATCTGCCTTCACATGCTTCTGTGCTTTAAGCGCAGTGTGAGTGAATCTGCAAACCCCTAAGAATATTCTGAAAGTGAAATGCCCATTAACACTGATGAATTGTGGGAAATACCTTACATGGGGAAGTCATGGAGAGACCACTCTAATACATGCACATATACACAGATATCTCACTCAAGACAAACACATGTGGAACTACCATCAAAACAGACTTGCATCTACACGCAAGTGAGAAAACATGAACATGCACGCAAAAATAACCTGTTTTAGATTGCACTCATCATGGATGTGAAAGGCCTTTGGTAAATGTTTCATAGTCCTTGCATCATCTAAGAGGATGGGCCAATTTGAGGTTTACATGCAGTTTTCCTTTTGAACTTCTAAAGAGCTGAATATTCGCTTAGTGGTATTACACAAACTGCAGTTGCAAGCCTTGCAACAGAGTGACACTCACGTCCATGAACTCTACATTGGCTTTGGGGCCTGTCGCCTCGTTCAAGATCTTTATGGCAACGGGAATCTTCACAGTCTCGCCCTCAGGTACCCAGATGCCCTGAAATAAAATATATAAATATATTTCGTAGAGGTAATTGGGTAGAAATGTATTTTTTATTGAAGAAAATGTGAATGTTCGTGCAAAACTCATTAAAGCTAGGTTGTTGCTAAGGTTTTCTGCCATGTTCCTAATATATTGCTAAGGTGTTTTTGGTGGTTGTTAGGGTGTTTTGGATGGTTGCTAGGTGGTTTTAAAAAAGCCTACCTTCAAATATCTCCTTCAAAGTAAGTCTATTTGATTTTTCTTTCCTTGTGTTTTTTATTTTAAGTACACTAAAGATCAAAAGTTTGGGGTTGGTAATTTTTTTTTAAGTGTTTTTGAAAGAAGTTTCTTATGTTCACCAAGGCTGCATTTATCAGGGTAACTAAAAAGGAAAATTAAAACAATAATAAACTAAATATTTTTGTTAATTGGGGAAAAAACAGTTCACCAAAATAAATAAACAAATAAAATTAAATAAAAATAATTTCTCATTTTAGTTCAGTTTGACTTGATGTACTAAAATAGAATAACTAAAAATAACTTAACCTGAAATAAAAAAAAAATAAAATTAAAACTATATAGACGTGTAAATAAACAAATTAATAAAAAACTATAACTGTATCTCAAAGATTCTAAAATAACACAGACATTTATTTGATAGATACAGCAATATTGTCAAATATTATTACAATTAAAAATACTACTTTTTAAATATGTTTGAAAATGTAATTTTATTCTTTTGATGGCAAAATATATATTTTTTATATTACTGTAAAAAAAAAAGTTAGTGTCACCTTTGATCAATTTAATGCATACTTTAATGCATACTTGCTAAACAGAAGAATTCATTTTCTCCAACCAACCAACCAATAAATAAATAAATCTTTCTAACAACAAACTTTTGAATGATAATGTTTGTTTCACATAGTATGGGAGAAGCGATGTGCAAAAATTCTATAGCTAGTTAAGATATTTGAAAACCCCCCAGAAATGAATGAGCAACATTAACAATGATGCTCTCCTTAGCAAAATATATGGGCTGCACAGATCTTTCTTAAATTCCCTCTGTCTCCACTTTGATGTCATTACCTTGTAAACAGTGCCAAAGGCCCCGGCTCCTAGGATCTTCACCCGTTTCAGCTCAGTTTCTTTTAGAATGCGCAGCTGTGCTTGGTTCGGGGCCGCACCGCTGGGCGTCAGAGGCTCCACCAACTGAGACACACAAAGCAAAGGAAGGGAGACGCCGTCAGAGATGCTACAATCAATCTGGACAATCAATGAACATTCGGCCCTAACTCAAACAAACTGAAGAACACAGACCATAGTGTATGAATTCCCTGTAATTTATTTAGTCTCTCTGTGCCATTATGTGCTGAATATCAGAGTTTGGGAGTTCAATCAATGCATAAAACCCCCTGGTGATAAAAAAAAAACTATTGAAATGCAAGAGAGAGGGACAGAGATAAGAGGAAAAAGCAAATAGAGAAGATACAGGAAAGAAAGACAGAAAGAGAGAAGGTTAACCTGATAAAAATATGAATGAAGAGAGTGTGTAGGAGAGAGATTGGGAAGCGTAAGAGAGAATGAGAGATAGAGAGAGATCGTAAATCAGCCGTTCTATCGACCCTTTGCGGCGTCCCCCGGCTCATCACAGCCGCCTGATTAAAAAACAATAGCGCTTCTTCATTTAAATGGAATTGTAAATCAGGAGCCCGGACACAGAAGGCAGAGGAGAGCCAGGGGAGGGACGAGCTGTGATCTGGGAAGCTGTCCGCTGCAGGCGGTGCTGAAACACAGATCAGGAGCTGTCCATGGTGCTGAAACCTGGGACATTGTAGTGTTCCAACATAATATGAATTTATAGTTCTGGGAACACTCTATTCTGGTGAAAATGGAGATATGGGAACGTTCAAGACCATATGCGTTATTGGCATAAATGATGCCCATTTTCACACACATGCACTTTCTTATGTGGCATGAGTGGGCCTGCTCCAGATCACTTTGTGGAGTGTCTGAGGAGATCGTTATACTCTCCATTTAAAGCCTGAGGCCATATGGATATATGCATGCATGAAGAGGAGGGGTCAGAACCTTCGGGCACAGGAACGCGGGATCCTTGTGCAACCTGCACTCTTATGAACCTGCCACCCACACTGTGATATGAAAAATAAACTATGATATTAGGAGGATGGATAGAAAGAGAATGAGTGAAAGAAAAGGGAAGACAGTAAGCATTAAAAGGGGAAAAAAAACAAGCCATGAGTGAGGCCACCATCACACTAGCAAGGACACGGTTTTTCATTAATGTTTATTTAATTAACATATACAATCACTTTAAAAAAGGTCCAAAGTGATGCTATTATCCTGATATGAAAAATAAACTATGATATTAGGATGATAGATAGAAAAAGAAAGAGTAAATGACAAGGAAAGACAGTAAGCATTAAGAGGAAAAAAAGCCATAAGTGAGGCCATCAGCACACTAGCTAAGACAAGATTTTTCATTAATGTTTATTTAATTAACACACAATCATTTTTAAAAAGGTCCAAATAGAGGTTATTATCCTCAGCACTGGAATAAATTCAGTTCGAAAATACATGAGGTGCATGTACGTAGTAATCAAAAGCAGATTGAGTGAGCTTGTTTTAACTGTCCATAAAACATTTATAAAGCTGTTGTTCATTTATTGAAATCTTAATTAATTGCCATTTTTCCATGAACAGATTACAAAAGAGGGCCTGAAAGAAAATGTTTTTTTCAACAAATGGTCAGTGAAAGTAAGTAGTTAACTTTCATAAAATGATGATAAACAACCTCAGGAGGTCAAACTAAATATTATATGAGCTGTTTTCCATTTTATTTTCTATTCATTTTATAATGAGGTTTGCAATTTTTGCAACTCTTGCCAAAATTTGGGATATTAAAATACAGTTTAATACCCTGATTTGTGAATTTTGCTATTTTGTCATTTTAAATTATATAAAAATATTTTACAATAAATATTAAGCTTACATAATATAATATATAGTATAT